ATTGACAAAACTATCAGAAGTCTCAGAGGCATTGGAATTTCTAGCAGGATAAGAGACCAAGGGCTGCAGTATCTCCTGCAAATATATTAAAGAAATAAAATGGGTTAATAGATAACTTAGCAACTTGCCAGTAATCGTTGGGTGTAGCTACTTGATGAGGCTTTAGCTCTCTGGGAGGAGATCAAAAACCAGTTCTCCGATAGTAGAAGATGCTCTTGCACTGCAGTCATCTAGGTCAAAAGGAGGAAGAATCATGTGGGTCTTTCAACTGAAGCCATAAGAGATGGAAGTCCATCTTCCTCAGCATTAGCTTCATTCATGGGTGGCCTTACCTGAGATGGACCTCCTTGTAAACCTGAGAAAGAGCCATCTCACTTCTCTGCCAGAGAAGATCTGAGGGGCTGGGAAGGAGGGCCCATCACTCACAGCATTAAGGGATGCTGGTTAGCAACCCTCTGCTGCCTCCATGGTGTTCTTTATCGTCTTGAAAAACCTTCTGTCTTCTGTCTTCTTCTTCTTCTTCTTCTTCTTCTTCTTCTTCTTCTTCTTCTTCTCTTCTTTCTTCCTCTTCTTCTTCCTCCTCCTCCTCCTCCTCCGTAGCATATTCCCGCGAGTGCAGGGTCTGCTTTTCTTGGAAAACCATGATTGCCCCAAAATAAACGAGATAATATTCCCTGGAAATTATGCAAAGTTCTTTCATTTCCTCAAGAATGGGGGAGGTAACGGAGACAATCTGGGGAATTTTGACAGGAAAAAAAAATTGAAGATTCACCTCTTGAAATCTTCCCTCCCAATGAAATAAAAGTAAATGAATCTGTAAATGACTTTTACAATCTTGGGTTGATAATTTCACAAGAAGCAATGTTTATAGTGGTCAGCGTGTCTGATGAGACAAGAAGATCTTAACTCAAATTCTCCTTCTTGCACAAAACTTTGGATATATGACAATCTTCCTTCTCTTCTTGTGCAATGTCCTATCTTGTCCATCCCGTCCTTGGGGAGCTAATCAGAAGGCCATTAAGATTACAGACAAGACCCCTTTGCTGGGCTCTTCTAAAGGGGACATTTTCATGCTTTAACTTTGCCTGAGTCTGGCTGTTTTTTGAAGGATGAATGGCTGCAAAAGTTGATGGAGTTAGCAAGGATGGCTAAATTGACTGCCTTGATTAAGGAACACAATTAATTTTGTTTCCACTAGGAAACCGCTTCTGGACTTTATGCTTGAGGTGGGGGAAAAAAATGAAACTTTGATTTTGGGTTTCGCTGATTAGATAGGTTTGTTGTTACAGAAGTCGCTAATCTATTTTATTATGTCAAAGTTAAAAGTTGAGCTTGTACATTATTACCTTATTCTACTGCGCCAAAAAGAGTTAGAAGTCAATACTTTTCTTTTTCTTTTCCCCTTTTCCATACACTTTCCCCTCTTCCCCTTCTCCTTCCATATTTTCCTATCATTCTCATTTTTCTTTGCATTTTTTTGTATCTTATATTTTAAACTAAAAGTTTTAAAGTTTGGTGGTTTTGTTTCAATACCCAAACTAGGTAACATCATCGGCGCTAGCAAAAAAGCAACTTATTGCATTCGTTCTGGCAGTGCTGCAAGAAAATCACCAAGCTCTGAGGGCACCAAGGACTCCATAGCCCTCCTCTTCCTCCTCCTCTTCCATAAACTTCATTCCCTTGTAGCACTGATGATGTTCCCTAGTTGGGTCCTGAAACGTCTCCACGAAAACCACCAAGCTGAGAGAGCCCCAAGGACCCCTCATTTCAATCCTGAGCTACAAATATTCTCCTTTATTGGTAGAGAAGTTAGAATTTGGCCCATTCTGGCTCCCACTCTGAATTTCCAGCTATCTCCTCTATGTGTCCTTTGCCAATTACTACTGAGACTTTGCTTTCTCGGGACTTGCCACCAATCGTGGTTGGTCGTGCTCTGAAAAGTACAATGATACCCACAACAGGCAATCGGGCCAGAATTCGTGGCTCCTGGAATGTTTTGACAGAATGGGTTTTTCTACCAGAAGCCACCAGCGAGGAGACCGTTCTCCTCCTGAGGACCTCCTGTCCCCTGGTGTCTTTGGCACCTGCATAAAAGGCCCGACCTTAGAACCAGCTTTACCCAAGAGGCCACTGGTCCATCCCCGTATTTTCCATTTGCCTGCAGAACAACTGATGTGATCTTTCCTTCAGCTGCCAGCCATAAGCTCAGCCTGGAGGCGTCCTGGTGCTTCTCTGCAGCTCAGCTCAGCGCTTGGGAGAGAGTCCTGCTCTCCTTGGCATCCCTGCCCTTTGCTACCAGGCTGTTCCAGCTAAGTGGGTGCTCTTATCTGCTCCCTGCATACATTAAACAGCATTATAATTATCAGCACTTTTCCCTTCTGCAAATTACATTCGCCCTGGCACGAGCCTTGGGGCATCTCTGTCCTTAATGCATTTCTTATTTTGCTATTTAACTGGCAACAATATTGGGTCACGGCCTATTTGTAGCATCTCAGGGCCAAGCCGGGCACTGCCTTCCCAAGAGGCAGAGATCAAATCCACCTCGAAGAGATCGGGAAGCCTAAATCTTCTCTTGGGCTCTGCTCTGCAGAAGATCCTGCCACTCTGGCCAGCTCCCTTGCTTGATTTGCAGCCTTTTGACTAAAATGGCAAGATGCGTCAGCTGGACTTGGAACGAGTCTGTGGAAGCCGAATTGAATGTGCTTTTCGAAAAACCTTTGCTTCTAAATATCTACGGAGATTCTCCGTCTTCCAGGTCATGGCTGTCCCAATGGTGCTTTTTTCTCAAGAGGCAGCTGGACTTTCTGGTTTTTTCTTTTGAAGATGTTTCGCTTCTCATCCAAGAAGCTTCTTCAGCTCTGACTTCCCCATCATCCAGTCAGAGCTGAAGAAGTTTCTTGGATGAGAAGCGAAACGTCTTCAAAGAAAAACAAGTCCAGTTGCCTCTTGAGAAAAAGCAGCTTTGGGACTTTGCTTCTAGCGTACAAGGAAGGAGGAAATCCAGGAGGAAACTGGTGTGTGTGTGTTTGTGTGTGCGTTCACACGGCTTCTTTTTGTGTGGTGCGTTTTGGCCCAACTCAGGCAGGGAGTGGGTCAGGTGAAGCTTTGCAAGTTAGCAGGTATTGTGGCTTCCTCCTTTCAGCAAAGGTGGGCTTATTCTGGCACTACCCAAGGACGGAAACTGCTAACAAGGACGAGGCGAGGAGAAGGCAGCCTCATTCTTTTGAAATTGTAGGGAAATAATTCATAATTCAGCTGGTTCCTATTTCCGATCCATGAATTGCTTCTTGGCCCTCCAGGAGTCGGAGATGACATCCGCCGATTTCCAAAATTCTTAGGGGAAGAACGCATGAGTCAAAATAAATGAGGCCCCACCTTCATTGGCCGTTTCCCACCCACTCTTAAACTTACAACAAATAAGAGGGAAGGATGAGCCCCGGGTGGTGTCTTCACCTCTCTGCAGCAATCCCAGGCAGCTGCTCCAGGTGGAGCCCAAAGTGTGCAGAGATACTTGCACCCTCGGAAGAGATTCTCCCAGTGGGTAGGGTCCCCCACCCCCCCTCCTGGGTCGTTCTTAGGGCAGGGCAGCAAGGGACTGATGTGGACTTGGCATCCCTCCAGGTTAACAGAGTTGGAAGGGACCTTGGAGGTCATCAAGTCCAACCCCCACACACGCCCAAGCGGGAGACCCTACCCCATTTCTGACTGATGGCAGCCCAGTCTCTTCTTGAAAGTCTCTAGTGATGAAGCTCCCACAACTTCTGAAGGCAACTTCTGTTCCATTAGTTGATTGTTCTCATGGTCAGAAAATTCTTCCTTGTTTTCTAGCTTGAATCTCTCCTTGGTCAGTTTCCATCCATTCTTCCTTCTCTGGCCTTCAGGTGCTTTGGAGAATAGCCTGACCCCCTTCCTCCTCTCTGGGGCAGCCCCTCAAATATGGGAAGACTGCTATCCTGTCTCCCCTGGTCCTTCTCTTCCCTGGACCAGCCATGCCCGGTTTCTGCAACCCTTCTTCTTCCCCAACTGGCGCCCTCCAGGCCCCCCCATCCTCCCGCCGCCTGAAGCCTCTCAACTCTGCCGGGGGCGCAGGCAAAGTCCCCCAAACGCCCAACGCCGCGCTTCCCTCCCGCCTCCGGGCTCCTCCTGGACGGGGCGGCCGCTGCGGGCGGGGCGGGGCGGGCGGCTGTGCCGGGGAAGCCCCCGCACGGGGGCTCTTGGGGACGGCGGGGGGGTCTGAGGTGGGCGTCGGCCTGGCTGCCGGGGGCGGAGGGGCTCCGCGCGGGTCCCCCTTTCAAAGTCGGGGCGCGGGCGAGCCGGGGCAGCGGCAGCAGGTGCGCGGGGGCGGGGCCGAGGGAAAGGGGCGTGTCCGGCCTCGGCCCGCCCTCGCCAGCTGCAGCCGCCGCCTCCATGTTGGAAGCGGGCAAGCGGCGAGCGCTGTCCAGCACCGGCGCCCCGCTCTCCAGGGCCGGCGGGGGGGGGAGGGAGGGGGCGCTTGCGAGGGCGGGGCCGCAGCCGGGATGCCCCCTCCCCCCGACAGCGCCGTGGCCTCTGCCTCCCCCCCTCAGTCCTGCCTGGGAGCCCCGTCCCGCCCGAAGCGACCCTCCGGCCTCGGGCTGCCCCTTCCCCCGTCCCCCCGGGGCTGAGGGAGGGGAGGTCCAGACGGGGAGGGGGGGGGCAAGCGGGCGTCTTTCCCGGCCAGCGGCCCCGAGGCGCCAGAGCATGTGCAGAGTGCCGCTCCTGCGCCGGGCGCGCGCCTCCCTCCCTCCCTCCGCCGAGGGGCTGTGGTGGCGGGGCCGGGCACTAGGGGTCAGGGCAGCCCCGGCCAGGCGGGCGAGGGGCGGGGGGCGGGGGGCGGGGGGGGGCCGGTGCCAGCAGTCAAGATGGTTTCCGGCGGGGGGGGCGGCGGGGGCGGGCGGCTCCGACGCGCCTCGCCAGCCCGGCAACGTCAGGCAGCGGCTGGTGATTTGCTGGCCGCGCCGCCGAGCCCCGCTAGAGAGGCTGGAAGCGGGCGCTGCGAACTCGGCTGCCGCGCCGCCGGCGATGCTCTGCCCTCGGCCGCCGCGGGGTCTCCAGCAGCCCGCCCGCCTGGCCCGGGACGCCGCGCGACGGTGAGTGGCCGGGACCGGCCGGCGGGCAACTTGCGCCGGGCTGCTGCTGCTGCTGCTGCTGCTTGCTTCTTCCGCGGGACGGGGCGGCGCAGCTCCTGCAGCCCGGCTCGCTCCGCTCCGACGGGCGCCTTGGTCCGGGGGAAGCGGCGCCGCCTGGCCCCCTCGGGGCGCTCCGAATGCGGGGCAGCCGGCCGCTTTGCTCCGCCCGGGCGGCTGCTTGGTGTCGGACGGACGGACGGACGCCGAGCTGCGCGCCGGGCGGGCGAGGGGAGCCCGAGGCGAGGGGCTTTCCGCGGGGTCCGCCCTCCGTCCGCTGCCCGCTCGTCGGAGCGCGGCTTCGCCTCGGACACGCGTCTCGGGGCTGGAATGCGGGGCGGGGCGCGGACGGCGGAGGGCGCTTTCGGCCGCTGCTCCCGCCCTTCCTCCCCGGCCAGCCCGCCACCCTCCGGGCTCCCCTCGGGCGGGACTCGCTCCGGAGGAAAGGCTCGCCGGAGGCCAACAGGTCCCGCGTTGCGCAGCTGCCTTTCCTCGGGAGGGGTGGGGGGCGCAACGGTCCCGTCTTATCCCCCCCTTTTTTTTGGGTGGGGGGCTTCCGGACCTCCCTCTGCAGGAGCCCAGCTTTAAGCGTCGAGGAAAGGGAGGGGCGGGGACCCCCGAAAGGGCTCTCATCCCTTCGCATGGGGGTGGGGGGATTGCTAGATTGACCGTCCCCCCACCCATCGTCCCACCCCGCCCCTCCTCCGTCAGGTGCCCCAGATCTGGGGGGATCATCCAGCTGCTCTGCCGCTGCTTTGCACGGGAGCCCCCCCCCCCACCCCACCCCACCCCACCCCACAAGAAGGTAAGAATTGGGGCTTTTCCCTGGAAGTGGCCGCAGTTATCCAGGCTGACCCCGGGCAGCTTTTAAAGGCAATGTCCACCTTGGAAAAATCCCCCCTCCCCGTTTTCAGTCGGGAGGGGGCCTGTCGGGTAGAGGAGCCGCTGCTTTTAAAGCTGGGGGGGGGGAGAAGTTGTTCCCTCCGAAGAAGTTGGGCTGAAGCCTTTAACAAAGGCTGCCTCTTTCCCTGGGGAGGGGACAGGGTGGGCCAGGCTCCGCTTTCCCACTTGAGTTGTATGGGGGGGGGAGAATGTCATTTTGGGAAGTAGAAGAGCATGGGAAAGAGTGTGGCCACCCCAATTTGGGGCTAGAATTGGGGCCCCCCATTTCTTCCCTCTCTTTTCCTCTTCTTTTCTCAGTCTTAGCAACTTATGGGGTGTGGGGGGGAACAACAGAAAACTCCTCCCTCAGGAGACTCTGGGTGGTTGTGTGTGCAGTGATGCTACAATACTGTCCCAATTCAATTTGGGAAGAGATAGATGAGTATTATGGATGGGGCACCACTAAGAAATCCTCAACGTTCCTCGGGTTAAGGGTTTTGATAAACAACCTGGGAAGTGGGGGGGGGGAACCATCCCGTAAGAAGGCAGGGACTAGCCGCTTCCTTGGTGTTGCCAGGGAAACCACACTTGTTTGGGCAAGCTGGATATTGGAGAAGTTGGGCTGGTTGGAAGAAGGCTGTTCAGGATGCCCACCTGGGTTAGATGGCAGGTCCTTTTCCTGTTGAGCCACCCTTCCTGTCCCACCCAATGAGGTTCACTTTCCTTTTGGTCAGAGAAGGGCTTGACCAAGTGAAGAACCTGCTTTTTTTCTCAGGAGGCAACTGGACTTTCTGGTTTTTCTTAGAAGACCTTTCGCTTCTCATCCGAGAAGCTTCTTCAGCTCTGCTCTTCGGCTCATCCAAGACGCTTCTTTGGTGAGTGGAAGAAGCTTCTTGGATGAGAAGCAAAACGTCTTCAAAGAAAAACCAGAAAGTCCAGTTGCTTCTTGAAAAAGAACCTTTGGGACAACCAGGACCTGGAGGACTGAGACTCTCCATAGACAACCAAGGCTGATGTCCCTTCACCTTCTCTTTCCCACCCCACCTGGACTGACAGCTCTTTCCTGCCCTCAGGTTGGGTTCTTTGGTGGGTTCCCATGTCCATGAACTACGCTTCCCCTAAAAATTTCTGTTCCTTCCTGCTTTTCCCTTCCAGATTGTTGAACTCCTCAAAAGACAGCTCCAGACAGTGCTGTAGAAAGACTCCCTAATGCCTGCAGCCCGGAAGGAGCATTATGGATTTGACTAAGATGGGTACGATTCAGCTCCAGAACTCCAGCCATGCGACTGGCCTTCTCCAGAAAGCCAACCAGATGCGCCTGGCCGGCACCCTGTGCGATGTGGTGATCCTGGTGGACAGCCAGGAATTCCACGCCCACCGGACCGTCCTGGCGTGCACCAGCAAGATGTTTGAGATCCTTTTCCATCGCAACAGTCAGCATTACACCTTGGATTTTCTCTCGCCAAAGACCTTCCAGCAGATTCTGGAGTACGCCTACACCGCCACCTTGCAGGCCAAAGTTGAGGACCTGGATGACCTGCTGTACGCGGCAGAGATCCTCGAGATCGAGTACCTGGAGGAGCAGTGCTTGAAGATCCTGGAGACCATCCAGGCGTCAGAAGACAACGAGGCCGAAGTCAGCATGACCGACGGCGGTGCGGAAGAAGAGGAGGACCGGAAGTCCAGATACATTAAGAACATCCTGCTCTCCAAGCATTCCAGCGAAGAGAGTGGCTACTCCAGCCTGGCCGGCCAGGCCCTGATGGGGACGATGGTGGAACACAGCCCCTCGGTCTCCACCTCCTTCGGCCTGGCGGCCATGAGCCCCACCAAGACTGCCGTGGACAGCTTGATGAGCATCGGACAGTCGCTCTTGCAGGGGGCTCTGCCCCGCCAGGCCCTCGAGGACTTGCACTCTGCCAACGGCCGGTGCCCGGCCGTGTCCGAGCTGAAGACCGAAGCCATGCAGGTGGAGGAGGCCTCCAGCCACGAGAGCCCCAGGTCAGGAGAGCTGGGCGCTTCCGGGGGGGACAAAGCGGAGGATAAAACCAAGCAAGGGCCTGGCACGCCGACCCGTAGCAGCGTCATCACCAGCGCCCGGGAACTTCACTATCCCCGGGACGACAACGTGGAGCAGCCCCTCGAGGCGGTCCATGGCCCCCCGGTTGGGCCAGACCTTTTGGCCTCCCACGGGGAGAAGACGATGGGCATCTACTCGGTGCTGCCCAACCACAAGAGCGAGTCCATGCTCGGACTGCCCGTCTCCATGGCCCCCACGCTGCACGTGCAGCCGGCCCTGGCCGTCTCCATGGACTTCGGCTCCTACGGAGGGCTGCTCCCTCAAGGCTTCATCCAGAGAGAGCTCTTTAACAAACTCGGGGAACTGGCCGTGGGGATCAAAACCGAGCACCGGAGTGTCGGGGAGCAGTGCAGCGTTTGCGGGGCGGAGCTGCCGGACAACGAGACGGTGGAACAGCACAGGTAGCTCTTGTCTCCCTTCTTGGGGTTTTGCGCTCAGAAAGCTTGTTCTTGGGCGTCAGGCAAACTGGCTGTGGTTCTGAGGGACCCGATGAGGTTTCTTTTTTAAAAAAATTCCCAGCAAGGCAGTGAGTTGCAGGCTGCACCTCTTGTTAGGAAGAGAAAATAAAAAAGGCTTTGGAGAAAAAGGACGCTGGGTAATTTAAAGCCGAGAAAAGGCTCTGTAGGGTAGGTGGCATCTTTGCAAGTTGATCTTCAGAATAGGAATGGGGGCTCCAGGAAGGAACTTCTCTTCTTCTTCAGCCAGGGCTGACCATGAAGCTGGTTTTTGCTAACGCCTTGGACACACCAGCATGGTTTCCAAGCGGCAGGATTGCTAGGGAGTTAGAGGAAGACCAGGTACACCAGCTTCCTGAATGCATTTGCTCAGCCACGGAAGCCTGGAGTAAGCGTGTCCCTTGATCTGGTCCAGTCGTAGGACTCCTCTTAAGTTTGTCTTTGGGAGGAGACTGTGGGAGGACAGAAACTGCGGACGCCACAAGTGTGTTTTCCAAGAAAGAAAAGAGATTCTTCTACACTGCTGAGACATAAGTGAGAGGCTGCAGTCCAAGGAGAAACTTTGGCCCTTTGCATGCTGTGAAATGGTTGTGTGTTTCCCCCCCCCCAAAGGCCAGTGGTGGGTGATGGGAGTTGCAGTCAGTGGCACCTGGATGGCCATTCTTCGGTCAGTTTAATTTGCCCCCCTTAAACTCAGCTTTATTCTTGTAGAAGCTGCTCCAGTTTATTAACGCAAAACGGGGTTGAAATAATGTTTGCTGGGCTAAGCTGAGTTGCTCGCTAGTAGCTACTTTCACTTATGCCAGTTTAGCCTCGGCCTTCTGGATGGCAAATTTGGACGCCAACATGCATTTTTTAGGTTTATGCAGAAATTGCTGTTTTGAGCACTGGGTCAGTTTGTGATGATTGCCAGAGTTTGTTTTTATTGCTTGTTCTGTTCTAAATATGGTTAGAATTTCTGCAAGGGTTTGCTGTCAATCTTTGTAATATCTTCACGTTAACTAAAAACCAGCATATTAATGCACCTCTTTTGGGACCTTTTGCTGACAGATTCCCTTAAAAAAAAAAGTTTCAAATGTCCTTTTGGGTTGATGACATCCACGGTGGCTTTAAGTGGAGCAGCACATTAGAGACAAATTGCTCTCCGAAGGGAGGTTAATACGTGGAAATCTGTCTTCACTCAGTTGTAGTTTCGAGCATCGCTTTTGTTTGAACTCGGCTGCTTAAGAGGTCTCTATTTTATTTTTTTTTTTAAATCATGTCAAATGCATGGAAGGGGAGAATCCATTTTGACAGGCAGCGTTTTCTTGAGAAACTCGGTGGGTCTGTCTGTTTCTTGTGGGGACATAACTCGCTTATTCCTGTTTTCATGAATGCCGGTTTACGCTTTGCTTCTGGGCTTCTCCTGAGCGGGCGGTTGATCCTTTGGGGGGTTCTCTTTGCCAGTTAGGAGGGCCCCCCCTCGGCTCCTCAGTCTGCCTGTGTGAGACTGGAAGGTAGAAAAGGCTTGGCAGCCCTGCTTGGCTGCACCTGGCCTTCCTTGTAATGCAGAAAAACAAAATTTGTGCCCAGCAGCCCCGTGGCTTCGTCTTGTGCAAACATTTGTAGCGGAGGTGCAGAGTGAAGCATATTTCTTGTGCCTCTAATACTGTGTAAACATATTACAAGGCAGCCTGCTAATAGGATTCGAGCCACAATGCAGAAGATGCTCAGAGATGTTTTAATGAGCCGACAAGTTTAATTACTGTACTCCAAATGTACATAATGTACGTTGGCAAGACCGGTGAGGAGCAGCCTGCTTTGGGCTTGGTGACTTTTAGAAACAGAAACTCAGCCTAGAGTGGGACAGCCACGGTGGCTTTCTCCCTTCTGAGCAGGGCCACAATTTATGGGCAGGTGGGCTGCCTCTGGCACTCCTCCCAAGCGCTTTGCCCATTAAGATCAGTCCCTCGGCCATCGGGCCACCCAGGAAGGACTGATCCCCCTCCCACAAAAATGGCTTTGCAAGCATTCAGGGTTGGCTTTTCAGCCCCTGGCCCCTGCCAGTCTTGGTTATATTGAGCTCTTCTGTAGCCAGGGACCAGTTTCTGCTTCTGAGTCGAAACACCCCGAGTAAGGGGCACCGCTTCCTGGGGTATGTTGAGCCTCCTAAAGACCCGAAGATAATGGGAAGAGAGGAGCAAGCTGGAGGGGGCTTGGAGCAGCTTTCCTGGATTTGCTGTGAGGACAGAGGGATCTGGAGCCCCCCATGGAAGTCCTGAGCCTCACAACCTGGCTTGCCTTCTCTCTGAAGACCCTTAATGTTGGGTGGGTGGGTGAGTGGGGGGGGTCACCATTTCTGTTCCTCACCTGGGCTGTGGAAATATCTGGGGCCTCTTTCTCCAGAAAGCAAGGAGGGAGAAGCTGGCTCTCCAATATCATGGAAGTTAGGAAGAAACGTTCTTCTGTCAAACCATGGCAGGCTTTTGAAGGCCAGGTCATGCCAGGAAGCGGTGGTCCAAGGTTTCCTTCTCTCCCCCACCCGCCTTGCCAACCTCTGGTTCACAGATCAGGAAGGAGCTTTCTTTCTTTCCTTCCGAGGTGCTCTGGCATCAAGGTGCTTTTGGCCAATTGGCAAGTGTCACAGTTAGGGATTTTAAATACCGAGCCATTCTGGAATTGCCAGAGTTGGTCGATATCCTTGGCTGTTTCTCCCATCTCTGCCGGTTTCACTCCGAGGTTTGAATTCCCTTCCTCTCTTGAATTTCCTTAATCCCGTCAAAGGCTTGCTTGACTCCACGCAAAGTGACGAATTGATGAGTAAGGTGGCAGGTTTTTCAGTCTTAAAAAGGTGCATTTAAAAAAAGAAATAGAAAGGCTGGTGGGGTTTTTTTTTTTTTTTTTTTTGTCTAAAAAAAGCGGCTTTTTTAAAGCGTCATGTTCTGTGCTCTTTTAGATGTAATTGAAGCAACACCTGTAGTTGGCAGAATTATTTATTTATGATGCTCTTAACACAGTCTGGCTAGCTGTTTTTTTTTCCAGGGAAGGAAATGCAGGGCCAAAAAGGAAGATTCAGATAGCGTCGTCCTTTCTAAATGATGTGATTTATTCATATGATTATTTATTGTTAAATTTATACGGTTTCAAAATTGATGGGACAATCTAGCAGAAGCTAATTAGGGGTTTGTTTCAGAGGACAACAAGGAGAAGAGGTAATTTTCATGAACTGGACTTAGCTGCAACACCTATTAATGGATTTTGCTTAGGACAACGATCAAACCAGAGCTAGACGCTTGTGAACGTGCTTTAAATCAGTTGTGAACTTGTGTTATCTGCCGACACTCTCTTCCCAGTAGTGGAACTAACATTTCAGCAATCCATTACCACCCGTGAAATGTTTCCTCCCACGATATGGCCCAGATTTAGTTAAACTTTGGGGGTCATTTAAATCAGGCCATCGAATCTGGAAAATTTCAGCTGAAGCTGCTGACAATTCTGGTGTCCCTGATATTTGTTGCAACCTGATTTTTTATGAGACGTGACACATTGATACCAGTGCCTGTGGTTGTTGCTTTTTTTTCCCCCTCTTAACTCCCCCTTCTTTGGAGGTCATTTTGCTAAAACAATTTTTAAGCCCCAGATCAGAGGTTTTATTAATAATCGTGATTTCCAAAGGGCAGTGGGATGCTGGGGAAATGAGAGTAAATTTCAATTGTTTAGAGCTATGACTGTGGCCAGATTTCATTCTTATTTGTCTGAAAAAGTTGACGCGTCGATGTGCAATATCTTATCACACTTACCGAGAAATCTGAAGAATTTCCATGTACTTCGATACTATACTTTAATACTATGGTATTGCTTTTTCATCTTTTATTAATGCAAAGTGATACATTTCATATCTAAAGCTAATTGATGCTCAGAACTGTACAAACCTTAATTTAAAAGGTGGGCTAATTCGAGGAATTTTAGCCAAACCTGCTAAAATTTAAAATCTTTAGACTCATAAATGAATGTTAGCGTTAACTGAATTTCTGTCATTCTTTTGAATGCTGCTTTTTTTTTTTTTTTTTGCTAAATTCTGTATGGCAGAAAACAGTGCCAACATATTTGTGGGCAAAATGTGTGTAACAAAAGATATTCAGACAGAAGGAATTCGGAGTTGGTGGCCATGATTCCTCTGTTCCGGTTTCCCCAACATCTTTGGGTCTTCAACCTCTTGACCAAACTTCCTTCTTACTTGAGACTTGCAACTTTGCTACCACCTGTTTCTCTCTTCCAAATGGGGCCGATGGTTCTGACTCAACGGAAGATGCGTCGAGCGTCTACTTCCGCAAATAGAAAGTTTCCAACAAGGTTCAGAGATGGTCAGATTTAATTTAATGTTTGCATTGATTGCGGCTTTTAGTTGCCAGTTTGGGGAACGGAATAACCAGTGCGGATGCTTTTAAACTCAGTGGAATAAATGAAAGCATCATTCCTTTTTTTCCAAAAGCAATTATCCTTTTATTTCAGAGTGACACATGGAATTTGTGTGGGGGGGGGGGGCTCATCCCATGCCTGCGACTTTGGACCAGGTGTGTGTGTATGTGTGTGTGTTTGTGTGTGTGTACACGCACTCAGGCGTAATCAAAAAATCAAGCTGGTGGCCACAGTGTTATGACGGCATCTCCAGCGTGTTGGCCAGATGCTGTGATCACCTCCAGCTCTGGATCTTGGAGAAGACAATGGGTCCATGTGTGTTTTTTGTCTCCTGTGTTGCACTAACCGCTCTGTGATGGATTGCCTCTGGCTTCTCCCCACTCCGTCCTGTCTCCCCCCCTCCCCCCCAATGTTTGACAGTGATAACTTCCAGAATGTGTCTGGGCTGGCTTGGCTTCTTTCTGGCTGATGGACCTTATTAGTGGCACCTGGCATTGCAACCGACTAATGGAAAGCAGTGCACTGGCGAGGGTCTTTGTGGGCCAGCC